ACAGTTCTATATATTATTCAGTGCCCACCATGGTAAGTGTCCTCTTAATCCCCTTCACCTATTTCACCCATCTCCCCACCCTGTAGGATCACTTTGAAGAACAAAGTAGAAAGTTGCTGGTGGTGGTGATGATGATAGCAGCAACATTTACTGAGCACCTACTGTGTACCTGGCTCCATGCTGTGTGCTTTACCTGTGTCATTCCGTTGGTCCTCACATCAACCCTCTGGGGTAGGTTCAGAGCTGCTGAGTAACCGGCCATGGTCACACATTTAGTGTCTGGGCTACAGACCACCACCATAGGCCCACAGCCTCGTCCCAATGCAGGGTGAGAGGAGTCACTTCCCCACAGGGGCCTTCCTTCCTACTCGATTTTTTGCAGGTGAAAGGCAGAAGCCAGATACCCTGAGAATGAGCTGTTCATTCAGTATGGGTGGGAAGAAGAGAGAAGGAATCCCTTTCACAGACTAAAAACTGCCTGGAGTCTGAATCTCAGCATGTGCTGAAATAGCTCTGGCTGCAACGTCTCAGGTGAGAGGCAATCCTTCCAGAGCACCTGCTTCTCTCCCAGCTCATTAGCATCCCCTCACCATTCCCCAGAGGAGCTCACCGCAGCCGACCTTCCAGTCTAATGAAAGCTGCTTAGCAACCGGGAGCGGGTTGTTAATAAAGCCCTGCTGCTCTTCCCAGCTCCACAGACTCCACCCCTGTCTCCCATCACAGCCCATCTTCAGCCCGAAGCAACAATCCGCAGATTGCGGATGTGCGCAGGGAGAGCTGGGACCCCAGTGACTGAGGGGCAGGACTGACCTGGGCCTGGGCCCTGCCCCCAATGCCTTGCGGGCCGAGCGGAAGAGACATTACGAGTCTGAGAACCTGCTGTGCCAGGCCAGCTCTGTAAACCTGTTTTACCCAGCAAAGGTTAAAATCCAAACTCAGTGCCCAATCAGAGCAGAGCACACAGAAATACTGTGGAGGCAGCCACACCTAGCCGTGAGCCCGAGGAAGGGCAGATCCAGAGAAATGGCGGCTTCTCCAGTGCTCAAGGGTTGATGCCTGAATTACCTCAGATCCCTGACGGGAAGAGAGTAAAGTGTCCTCTTTAAGCATTGTATATTATTATTACAAATGCAGAGTTCAAAGGCGAAATCTGGGACAGTTTGGTGTTTAACCTAACCTTGAGTTGCCCAAAAGCAAAAGTTAAAAGCACCATGGGACACATGACTGGCTCAACAGGAGGAGACTCTTGATCTTGGGTATGTGAGTTTAAGCCCTACGTGGGGTACTTATAAAATAAATAAAACTTAAAAAAAGTTAAAAGCACCTTGCCCTTGGGGTAGGAGGTGGCAGGAGACATCAGCTTACATCTGGGGATTTAAGAAGCCACAGGAAAAACAAGGTGCATTAATTTGATTCAACAGTAGGTCTTTATATTAAACATTTCAAAGACCATTTTATGAAATGAAATGCAAACTTGACAAGCCTTTTTAAGATAAAAAAGTGAGATATCAGAGACCCCTTTCCTACAGTGGTGGGTTTGGGCCTACTCCCCAAGCCCCAGCCTCTGGCTGCGGGCCTGATCCTGACAGCCATGCTGTGTGGTTGGAGAACAGCACACAGAGAAGCCCTCCCCACTGCCAGCCAGGGCTTGCCCAGCAAAGCTTCCTCACAAGGTTTCCACCTATAGGGGCCTGACCAGCTTCTGGACAAACAGGTTTAGGAACAACCACAGCACACACACAAGAAACACACACTTCTCGCCAGTCCTGGGAGTCTGCCTCCTCCCGTGGGTAATAGAAACAGGGGTCTGGCACAACTTTCCTGGGTTTGCCCAGGGTCAGGGCTCACCCCCGGGATTCTTCAGTTCCATTTCTAAGGCTCTCCAGGAAGAGTCTTGTTTCCAGTTCAAGTATCTCTACTCGAAGGAAGCTGAGAGCAGCTCATCTTGCCGAGGCCCTGCCCTCCCCTGCCAAGAACAGAGGGGCCCAGGGCCCCAGTGCTCTCCAAGGCTCTAGGGAATGTGGCCACTCCGTGGTTAATCCAACCTCCACAGCTTTTGCTCTGCTCAGATCTCTCAGTACCTTCTCTGCACTCCAATTCCTCCCAGAACAAAGTTGAATTCTGGATGTGGTTGGGACAACAGCAGGACCCAGTATAAGACTGGATCTACTTCAGACTAGAAATGCATTTCTGAGCATTTGCCCAAGGGTAAAGGAGACTGGCACATCAAAATCTTCAAAAAACCAAAGGGGTGCAGTTTTCCATCAATACATCTCTATTCTTTCCTCTACCTCCTCCCAAAAATCCCTGATTATGATTCTCTTGTATGATGCATGTAAATGGCTTGCAGACAGGAAAAAAGTTTGATAGACACTGCTTTAAACATACCTTATTTTGAGCCCAAATTGGGATTTACCTCACCACTGAATACCAATTTTGACAAAGCCCAAGGATTCCTTTTTCCATGGGCTTGACTTAGCTTTATACTGTTGGCAACCCCTCCTGCTAACATTCCCCTCAGTGACAGCACTGAGCCCAAGGCAGGGGCAGCAAAACTGGCAGAGGCTTGGAGATGCCTTTTGTTTGGCCCACACGTTTTTTAAAAATGGGAATTTTGGGATGCCTGGGTGGCTCAGTCCATTAAGCATCCAACTCTTGATCTCAGGGTCATGAGTTCAAGTCCCGCATTGTGCCCCATGCTGGGCCTGGCGCCTACTTAAAATAAATAAAAAAATAAATACATAATGGGAATTAGTTGTCAATCTTTGAAAATAAAAACCCAGACTTATGGCTTCTCTAAAATAAAACAAAGGCCATGGCAAGGCTGGGCTGGCATTCCTGCAGGAGCTGAATGGTGGCAAAGCAATACTCAGTTCACCCCAGATCCCACCACCACTGCCTGCAGTCTCACACCCAGACAGCTTCTTGTGTGGACTGTTCTCATCTGATTGTGGACATTTAAGTTTGCACTGGCAGACCTAAGGCACCTCCTGAGATCCAGCAGAACCCTGGAGACTTGGGTCTATTTCACAGACCCCTGTTCTGTTTCAGCAACTACAACTGGCTGAAAGTAGAAGTATCATTCCTTTTGAGGGTAGTATCTCTGCCTGCTAGAAAGAGCCCTGGGCTTCCAGGCAGGAGACAAAAGTGAAAGCTCCACTGCTTCCTGTGGGCCCCTGGACTGATCAGAGGAGAGCTGACAGTTTGCTCATCCTAATTGGCCTGAATGTGAGATACCCACAACTCTTCTCCCTGCCTCTCTTTCCCCTATTCCCCCTTGGCCACCCACATGTGGTGCCCACGCACAAGCTGTTTGTGCTATTTTATTGTTTTCTGTATTTGTTGTATGTGGTCTGGATGAGGAATTAAGCCATGCATAACTGGGCCACCAGCAGAGCCCTTCTGGTGACAACGACAGATAGTGGCTGATGTCAGGGGCACACAACACAGGTGGAAAGGAGTAGAGTTCTTAATATTCTTCGAAGCCACTTATTGCAGACTACCATGCTTCTCCCCTAATGTAGGTTCTGCCTGAGAAAAGGTGAGATTAGATTGCTCCTTGTAACTCTGGGAATCATAACATCTCAAAGAATCGGGAAACTTACCCGAAAGGAAGATGGTGGGAACTCAAATCCTGCAAACTTAGTTTCAGCCTCAACATCCAAAGAAGAAGGAAAGATGGACATTTCCTGAGCTCTTACAGTGCTAGAAATGCTCACATGCATCATCTCAATCCCCACAAAAATTCCTTGAGATAGGAATCCGTCCTGTTTTTAGGGGAGCAAACTAAGGGTGACAGAAGTTAAGAAACTTGTCCAAGATGACGTAAATAAGCAGAGCACCAGGATTCATGTGAATCCTCAGTCTGTCACTCAGGCTCTGCTCACAGGTCATCTCTCCCCAGCTGCTCTCCCTCATCTCTCTGCTTTATTTTTCTTCATACCTTTATTACAGGATACATTTATATGCACATTTGGTTTTGTCTCTCCCCACAAAATGTAAGCCCTTTGGGGCAGAGACTCTATCTTGTTACTGCTATTTCCCTATCTGGAGAACAGGATCTGGCTCATGGCAGACCCTCAGCATTTGTTGCTATACTGATGGTGGGCAGCTCTATCTGTCTCACCATGGTACTGTCAAACAGTGCTCTTTCCCTTATTTGCTCCTTTCGTTCCTTCCTCTCAGAATACACAACCTCCCTTCCAGAAATCCCAAACACCAATCTCAGAGGCCAAGGAAAACAACATAGAGATGGCAAGCTGTCCCCTCAGAAAGGGAGCTGAAAGGAAGATTGAATTCCTGGAAATCCAAGGAAACTCTATTGTAGGTGAGGTTGCCCCTGCAAAGGCAGAAGTCTTCACAGTGAGGAGAAAGGGATGCTTCATTACTGACTTTTTCCTTTGTAAGGCGGGAGGGCTTTTGGCTTTCCCTCCTATCGTAGCCCATGTTGTTTTGCACCCAATCCAGTGCTTGGAGAGCTGGGATGCCAGAGCAACGCGGGTGGGATTAATTAGAAAGTAGATGTGGCACAGAAAGCACCCAAAACTACAAACCCTTCCCCCAAAGTTAAAGTAAAAATAAACTAGAGCAGTGATTCCCAAACCAGAATTACCTAGGTCAGTGGTTCTCAAGGTGTGGTCCCTGGACCAGCAGCATCAGAACCACCTGTCAGAAATGCAAATTCTCAGGCCAACCCCAGACCTACCAGAATCAGAAATTCCAGGGTTGGGACTCAGGAATCTGTGTTTTAACAGAGTCACTTCCGGTGACTCTGATGCACACAAAGGATCAAAGGAACTAGATATATGTAGATCCTTGGGCCCTGGAGATCCTGATTCAGTAGGTCGGGGACCAGGCCCAGGGAGATCTCAAATGTTTCAGAGTTGGATTCTAATTTGCAGCCATATTTGAAAACTACTAAACCTGAGGACTATTCTTTCCTAGGCCTAAGACAGTGTCTGCAGTTCTAAACCCACTTCCCACCGCCCCCAGTCACTCACCACACAGAGCAATGATGTGGCTGCTATCCTCATGCACAAACTTCCTGGTGACAGCCTCCTCCATGATTTGCTTCACCTGTGGACAAATGGGCAACATCTTATTTATTTTTCTGATCAAAGGCCTGTGGGCAAGTAAACGGCTTGGCCCTGCTCTCCTGGCCTGGATTCGGACACTTGCAGAATAGAGTACATAGGGATAGGAGGGGTGGGGAAGCAAAGTGTCTTCTTGGAAAGGCAACCAGGAAGAGAGATGTCATAAATCCAACAAGCAATCAGTGCAGATGTTTCAGTCCAGGAGGAAGTACCCCACTGTGGAGAAGGACAGGATGCCATTTGCTCATCTGTACTTAGCTGGAAAAGGGCTTCTGGGCAGATACACTGTACGTTAGGGACAAACTAGCTCACTACAGGGTATAGACAAACAACCTGCCCCTCTTTTACTCCCTCTTCTCCAAGGTTAGGGTTCATCCAGGCCTCAGAGACACTCTCCACATGCTTGCAAGCCCAGCCTTCTTTCTGTCTCAATAAAATCCTGATGTTTTGGGTTCCTACCTGGATATAAAAGCTTCCAAATACCTTGTAAGATGAGCAGTCACATCTTTCTTTAGGAAAGGACTTTTAAAAAAACTACACGCACACAAAACTTTTTTATTAATGGATAGTAAAACTATAGAGAAAAATATATATCATAATTATACAGCTTGATGAATTTTCACAAGTTGAACACACCTGCCAAACCAAGACAGATGAAGAAACAGAACATGTGACCAGCACCCTCAAGCACCCACCACTGTCATACTTCCAGTCACTACTCCCTTCAAGGATTCCCGCTATCCTGACTTCTTTTATCATAGAGTTGTTTTGTGCGTTTTTATACTTTTTATAGATGAAATCAGTGTGTAGTGTTTTGTGACTGGGTTTCCTTTTTTTTTTTTTTAAAGATTTTATTTATTTGAGAGAGAGAATGAGAGAGAGAGAGAACATGAGAGGGGGGAGGGTCAGAGGGAGAAGCAGACTCCCTGCCGAGCAGGGAGCCCGATGCGGGACTCGATCCTGGGACTCCAGGATCATGACCTGAGCCGAAGGCAGTCGCTTAACCAACTGAGCCACCCAAGCGCCCCTTCCTTTTTTTTTTTTTAAAAGATTTTATTTATTTATTTGACCGAGAGAGACACAGCCAGAGAGGGAACACAAGCAGGGGGAGTGGGAGAGGGAGAAGCAAGCTTCCCGCCAAGCAGGGAGCACAATGCAGGGCTCTATTCCAGGACCCTGGGATCAAGACCTGAGCCGAAAAGGCAGATTCTTAACCGACTGAGCCACCCAAGTGCCCCTGTGACTGGGTTTCTTTTGCTCTCTGGTATGATTGTAAGATGTGTTCATGTTGTATGTAGCTGTGGATCATTCATTCTCTATTGTGTTAACATAGCGCAATTGACTGGCATGTGGGTAGTTTCCAATTTGGGGCTGTCATGAATAGCGCTACTATGAACATTACAGATATGTCTTTTAGTGAACATAGGTGCTCATTTCCTTGGATTTATATTTCTAGACAAGGAATTTCTGATACCTATATTCCACTTTACTAGATTTCGCCAAATAGCTCTCCAAAGTGGTTATAAATTTACACTCCCATTAGCAGTGTATGAGGTTCTAGTTGCTCCCAACCCTTAAGCCAAGCATTTTTGATGTCCTGGGGGAACCTGCCAAGACACAGATAGTAATACTGGAGATTAGAGGGATGGATTACCTCAACCCCAGTATAAAATCTCACAGATAAAGTAAGCTCTGGGCAGAGTGTGTCTTTGACATTCTTTGGACATCGCATGCAGTGTTCTGATGCTGCCCTTGTTCCCAAGGCCCTCTCACCTAGGACTGTACAGTTTGGAGAATGGTAAAGCTTCTAAAGCCTGGGGAGGAGGGAGGAAGGACCTGGAGGCTTCTATTGGAAACTGCTCATGATTAGCAGTTAGGTAGAGGGAAATCAGATTGATCCTGCACTCTAAACTGTTAAAAGCTTCCTAGATTTCTTCCCAAGGGGTGTTTCTATTAAACAGAGCATAAAGTCACAGCTCAAAGACCTGCAGGCATCTGAAACAGGTGGGTAGGGCAGATCTGGGGGTTAGAAGGACCTATAGATGACTCTAGAATTATACCAGAGGTTTTGTGTTGAAAGACCAGCCTTGCCCCAAATTATCCCCACTGTTTCCACTCATAGAAGAGGAAAGGATATGTTTCTCTCTAAAACAAGTGCTGAAGGGAGAAAGGAGCTAAGAATTGAGAGAAGGTTAAACTTTGTAAGGTAATATACGTGGCTGTGACATATTTTGGACATTTCTCACAATTGTTTAGGAATCATTCTTGGAGTAGTATAAAGAGCCTTCTAAGTATTGAAAAAAGAATCACGGTCTTCTAAGAAATCTTTCCTATATCACCGATCAACCCTAAATTTGGATCACACCAACAATCCTAGCACATCTGTCCATAGTTTAGGTATGGCTACTTTTTTGTTCTTGTTTATACTGTTCATATGAGTCTCTGTCACTAGATTGCTTGTTTCCTTAGGATAACCTGAGACTTGGGATTTCGCTTATCCTTGGGGAGACCAGGTCTGGAGTTTAAATGCCGATTTGATAATACTCCTGGCCTAAAATACTTTCTTGGCCACTTCACAGGAAAGTCACAAGGGAGTTCTCACACACAGCTGGAAAGGTGATGGCTTCAACTACTTCTTTGCCAGCAAGAGGGAAGGGAACAAATAAATGTTAGGGCATAGTAGCCAGGCCATAGTTAATGCAGGAGAACCATCCAGAGCCTTCCAGAAGTTTAAGAACCCAGAGTCTTCTCCAATCCTGAAACTCCAGGAAGGGGTAAAGGAACCAATATGGTAAACTTTTATATATGAAGTACATATCCTTCTTTCAGGGATGAAGAAATTAAGACTCAGAGAGGTTAAGTGACTTATTCAAGTCACACAGAGCTAGGTTCAGAGTATTCCAAGGTTATGAATGCCTACCATCTTGCAGTCTCCAAGATATTTACCAAATATTCATTGAATGCCTACTGTGTGCCAGGTCCTGAATACAGAACAGTGGACAAAACAGACGGGTTTCCTGCCCTCATGGAGATTGCACATCTGGTAAAAGACAGCCACAGAGGTAGCTGCGGAGTTCATGGTTCCAGAGGCCTAATCCATTCTAATCCACGCTGCAGGTTTGAGCTCTCCAGCTCTCATACGCTGTGAGTCATTCATATGGGTACCCCCCCCCCCCGCCACAATGAAATTGAAATGGGCTTTAGGGCAGGGCCAAGGTAAAAGACATTAGTAGAGGGAGGGCTCCTGTCTTCCTGACATTTGGGTTGAGGGTTCCCTCAAACGGGGGAAAAAAATCTGAGTCTTAAAAACCATTCTCAAGCCGCCTCCCCCGTGGTCTCTGGGTAGGGACGTGGGCGTGGAGTGAGAAGCAGTGAGGTGTGCTACGAACCCTCCCGAAGCCGAAGCCGCGACTCAGTTCCCAGAGGGATCCCTGAATCGGGTGTAGGGCAAACCCAACCTAAGCCCCCAAACCACGGGTTTAGCGTTGTCTGAGGCCGCGCGAGGCCCCGCCCCCTCCCCAGGCGGCGCGGGCAATGAATGGGCAGCACCACCTCTCCAGAAATCGCCGCCACCCCTCCCCCGACCTTGGTCTCCCAGGGCTGTTGCCGTCACAGGGCGGGGAACTGCGGGATCGCGGAGCAAACAAGCGTCGGAGGGCCGGCCTGGCCCCTCGAACCGAGGGGTGCTGTTCCCAGATCCGGGAGGGAGGCGGGAGCCGCAGCCAGTCCAGGACCCCGCCCCCGCCCCCGCCCGGCCCAGGGCCGTGAGCTCCCGCGCCCGGGAAGGGGGAGCGCGGACCTTTTCGAGCCCCCCCAGCCCCGGGCCCGCGGGCACGGACGCGAGCCCCGGGGGTCCTTGCCCCGACTTTACCTCCTTTTTCACGTTCCACAGCAGTTTCTCTTTGACTGCGTCCTCCGCGCTGCCCATGTTGCGGCGGGTGGCGGGGAGGCGTCGCCGAGCTGCCCCCTAAGCCCCCCTAGCGCCCTAGCAGCCTCCGCGCCTCTCAACTCAGCGCCCCACGCTCAAGGCGGAGCCCCCGCCCGCCGCCGCCGCCGCCGCAGCCATCTTCCGAGCCCCACACAGACGTCAGGCGGCTGGCCCGGCCCCTTCCCACAGCCGGGGGCGGGGGGTGCGCTCTGCAACCCGGAGGGGGGGGTCGGGGCGGGGGGAGGCTGCGCGCTCCTGGGGGTGGCGGGCCCCCGGGTGCGCGCCTCGCGTGCCGCTGTCATGGCAACGCGCAGGCTCCCGCCCCGAGGGTGCGAACCCGCATTGTGAGCGCCGGCAGCCAGTTCCGCGCAGCGCTGCGCCGAGTGGTTGACGCGCCCTGGACCCCGCGGCTGAGGGAAAGTTGCTCACATCGTAGTTGGCCTCAACCCAGCTAGACGCTCCTTGACTTCTACTCCCTCGTTTTCCCGACGGGAAGGGCCGGGGTCCCTCGCACCTCGAGTATGGCTCTGGGGAAGCCAGCGTTATTCTCCTGGCTGAAAGGCCAAAGCTCCCTCGTTCCTCTAAATCCTCCTGAGGGCTCGAGTGTCAAGGCCAGCTCTCCCTCTCCTGTCCCGCCCTTCCTGAAGCTACGTGAGAGGTGGGAGCGCCGGGATGGAATAAATGAGATCAGCGGGAACTTATACGGAGCCCGTGAAGGTGAGAAAAGTGCCTTCCACGCAATTTGCCTTGTAGACTTGACCAGCCCCACAAAAGAAAGAAAGGGTTGCTCAAGATGGTAACTGAGGAGCTACGTGCACAAAGCTAGATGAGAGGTGGGGCTTAGCCCTCTTTCGCACGAATGGAGAAACTTCAACAGCCTCCTAAGTGATACAACTTGATGGCGCAAAAAAATGAAAATACGGGTAGCAAAAAAGCCCTTCAGGACCTAGAGCCCAAACCTCGACTCTACATCCGATTTTTCAAGGTCCCCAGCCGCAGACCGCCGCGTGGGAAAAGTTTACCCGGCGGTTTTGCAGAGACGCGACCGTCTCACTCTCTGAGGCGCGTTGGGAAAACTCTCGCGAGGGGAAACGCTGAGCCCCGCCTCGCCACGGGGAGGGCAGCCCAGAGGGACCCGGAAGCGCTAGGTCCGGCCCGGAACTAGTGCTGACTGGGTACACGTGAGCGGCGGCATGGCGGCGCACCGTTCTGGCCCGCTGAAGCAGCAGAATAAAGCTCATAAAGGCGGGCGCCATCGGGGTCGGGGATCCGCGCAGCGGGACGGCAAGGGTGAGAAGATAGGGTTGGAGGAAGAAGGGCTGTTTAGTCGATATTAACTGCTTTCCTTAGGTCCAGACTGAGCTCCTACCTCCGGCCTGGACCCCGCACAGAGGCTCTAAGGTGGGCCGAGGGGGTCCCCTTTCTTGACCCTCTGGTACCTTGCACAAGATCCCTTACTGATCTTCTCTAGGTCGTCTAGCACTGAAAATCCTAAGCAAGAAGGTGAGAAAAGAGCTCAGCAGAGTAGACCAGAGGCATCGCGCCAACCAACTCCGAAAGCAGAAGAAGGAGGCGGTGAGAGGAGCAGGGATTGGGGATTGGTGTGGCTTCACAACTGTTCTAGGTGGATAATGCCTCGAACTAAAAAACTTGACCCTGGGAAGGGGTTGGGGATGTCACACGTCAGGCGTGCAGATGTAGGCTCATGCTACGGCATTCTTTGCCTTGGTCCGAGTTCCGGCCCACTCTCCAGGCATACATGCTTCCTTTTACAAGAAAAATGCGGTGGGCTGGGAATGGGGAGTGGGGGGTGAGGAAGGGGCATCCATACTGTGGGAAAGGCAATACTGAAACGAAGTACTGAAACATCGATTCGTTCTATTAGGTTCTGGCAGAGAAGAGACAGCTGGGCAGCAAGGATGGTCCTCTTCATCAGGTACTGGTGGTGCCCCTGCATGAGAGGATTTCCCTGCCAGAGGCCTATCGGTTGCTTCAGGATAAGGACACCGGAACAGTACACGTGAACGAATGGGGAAGTACCCATAGCTTTATGCTGTTATGCCCCCGCTTGAAACATCGATGGTTTTTCACATCTGCAAGGCCAGGTTAGAGCATACAACAGTATTTTCTATTGTTATGTTTTGAGTAGTGGTGATATTCTTATACTATAATGTGCTGATGGCAAATACTGCTTCCCGCTAACTTTGTTTTGTATGTCTAGGGGATCTGCACACTGTGTTAGACATGGCCAAAGTCGCGGATACCATCATTTTCCTCCTTGACCCACTAGAAGGCTGGGACAGCACTGGGGATTACTGCCTTTCCTGCCTCTTTGCTCAGGGCCTTCCCACCTATAGTAAGTGAGTTGGGAGTATTAGAGGCAAAGGAGGGAAATGAATTAGCATTTATTATGCACCCCTAATTTGTCAGGCATTATGTCTGACATGATACAGTAATATAACAGCTGGATTGTATTTGGCTGATGGTGGGTTGTACATGAATGGCCTAAATTTGGTCCATCACTTAGCAATTATCTATCAAAGTCCCTTTTTATTTCTGGAATGCCCTTTGCCCAGAGGAAGAAGAACATGAACTTTAGTTTCACTATAAAAATTTTTAGGGTAGTTGAGTGTCGGGTTTCTTAGTGATCTCGGGACTCACAACTGAACTGTTAGCTTGTCTGTGAACTACAGGGGGAATTTACATGTAGTGAAACAACAGGTAACAAAGCCTTTTCTTTCTTGCTAACAGCACTAGCTGTCCAGGGTGTTTCTGGTCTCCCACCAAGGAAACAAATAGATGCCAGAAAGAAGCTAAGTAAAGCAGTAGAGAAGCGTTTTCCTGATGACAGACTTTTCCTGTTAGACACTCAACAGGAGGCAGAGGTGCTGCTCAGGCAGTTGGCTAACCAAAAGCAACGGCATCTTGCCTTTCGAGATCGACGGGCCTACCTGTTTGCTCATGCGGCTGACTTTGTGCCGAGTGAAGAAAATAACTTGGTGGGCACCTTGAAAATCTCAGGCTATGTTCGTGGGCAGACTCTGAATGTAAATAGCTTGCTGCATATCGTTGGACAGGGTGATTTCCAGATGGAACAGATAGATGCCCCTATGGACCCTTTCCCTTTAAATCCCAGAGTGATCAAATCCCAAAAGGACCCAGGCATGGCAATGGAGGTAAGACTGATGTTCTTAAAGATTGTGTATTTTTTTTTTTTAAGATTGTGTATTGTAGATTCATGTGTAAGCTGGTGTAGGATGTGAACTAATGTCAGAGAAGGTACTCTGAACTCCTAGACAACTATATTAGCCTCTGGAGGTGACTGCCAGTTTGAAGTAGGGTAGTTGTCAACTGTGAACATGTTGACATATTACATATTTATCCAGCACTTAAAGGTGCCTTGCACAGCAATTGGCTTTGGGTTTATAGAAGACACACAAGAGGGCGCCTGGGTGGCTCAGATGGTTAGGCGTCTGCCTTCGGCTCAGGTTGTGATCTCAGGGTCCTGGGATCGAGTCCCGCATCTGGCTCCCTGCCCAGCAGGGAGCCTGCCTCTCCCTCTGCCTCTCTCTCTCTCTCTGTGTCTCTTATGAATAAATAAATAAAATCTTAAAAAAATAAAATAAAAAGAAGACACAAGATGTGGTCTTTTTCCTTGGGCAACTTAATTAGGTCAGAAAAAATGGCAAACAACTGTGAAATAAAGATTGAAAAAGTGTGGTTAAGGTATAGACCTGCTATGGAAGTTGAGAAAGTAGACTAGGAGCTTCATAGAAATCAGACTTGAGTCAGGTGTTGAGAGGGATGAATGATTTGTGAGTTGAAGAGAGATGAAACAGTATCAAAGAAGATAGAAACAACATGAACTTAGGCACAGTGATAGATCAGAGGGTTTCTTTGAACTCTGAAGAAATCAGCTTGATGGGAGTAAGATATGTAATAAATAGATAGGAGTGAGACCAGATTATGAAAGGCCTCAAAAGCAAGCAGAGGTATAGTCTTAAAATGCTAGGAAATTGAACGTTTGAAACATTTGACAAGTTTTGGCTTTCCATTTTATTCTATTTCGTTTACTTGAGAACTATGTTATTTTTGGATCTCTCTGGTTACTGTGTTAGATTTGGTAGATTTTTGGGTAACGTTTGACTGCTGTCAACTATTTTGGTTTTCAGATTTGTGCTCCAGATGCTGTAGCTGATATGGAGGAAGACCTTAAGGTCCTAATGAAGGCAGACCCTGATAAACAAGAATCTTTGCAAACAGAGGTTATCCCAGATCCAATGGAAGGGGAACAAACCTGGCCCACAGAGGAGGAGCTGAGTGAGGCTAATGGTTGGTATTGGCAAACTTGTTTGTAATTCGTCTGGCCTGGAATTGTGGATTTTCTCTAGCGCTCACAGTTAGGATAGAGTGGGATGAGGATGTTATTTGGAGGTCAGTTTTTCTCTTCTTAGCTCTAAAGGCTGTATGTTTGTGTCAGGCAAACACTGGACACAGCGTTGCTCCATTTTTCAAAATTGTGTTATTGTTTCCTAGCAAACAGATAAACAGCTTTGATTTCTTGCTATTTATCTATGTATTATTGCTAGTTCTTTCTCTCTCTTTTTTTTTCTAAGGCAGCTGAATTAAATTTGGAAGTAGTCCCTTCTACTCATAGTGTCTGTTAGAACTTCTGGTGTTGGTAGCAATATCTAGTATCTTGCCTAGGTGAGAATACCCAGAGTAGTAGCGGAAAGGAGGTGTATAATTTAGCTTAACTCGTTTGGGCTTTTACAGACTTCTTGAAGAAAAGTTCCAAGGTGGTAAAGAAGGTTCCCAAAGGGACATCCAATTACCAAGCTGAATGGATTTTGGATGAGGATGGTGAAAGTGGTGGGGAAGATGAATATGATGATATAGAACATGGGGATTTTATTGAAGAGGAATCTCAGGTAAAGAAATGGACCCTTGGGCCACTTCTGTGTACAGCCCCATATACAAGGCAAAGTGTAATCCTGGAGGTGTGTGTGTGTGACCAGTTTCCTAGGAATGACTTGTAGCTGCCAGAAATGAGACTTTGTCTCAGTCTGTATTAGAATTGATGTTGGTTTGGACTGGGTGTCTAGTAAAATTATTTTATTTCTTTTTTTTTTAAGATTTTATTTACTTATTAGAGCACGAGTGGGGTAAGGGGAAGAGGGAGAAGCAGACTCCCTGCTAAGCAGGGAGCCCAACACGGGGCTTGATCTGGGGACTCCAGGATTATGGCCTGAGCCGAAGGCAGATGCTTAACTGACTGAGCCACCCAGGCGCCCCCAAATTATTTTATTTCTAGTTCAGTGGCCTGTAAGGTAGAGACAGGTGTGAAACTATAATCTTTATTCTATAGGATGAGGGCAGTGAAAAGGAAGAGGAGGAGGAATATGAAACTATGACTATGGGAGAGTCTGTGCATGATGATCTGGATGATGAGAATGTGGATGATGAGGCTGAGGAAAAAATGTTGGAGAAATATAAACAAGAAAGACTGCAAGAGATGTTTCCAGATGAAGTAGATACCCCCCGTGATGTGGCTGCAAGAATTCGGTTAGTCAGCAAGTCTAAAATCAGTATGTTTTTATTTCAAATTTATGTGGCTCAGAACTATGTCAGTGTGATGCAAAAGAAAAAAACACATTGTCCTTGCTCCTGAAGGGCTAACATTTTATATGGGAAAGTAAGACGCACATACAGGAAACAGTAATATATAATCAAGTTCTAGACTGTGTGGTACAGACTAACAATGTTACCGTACTTTAATGAAAGAGAAATACTAAGATGAATGCTTCCTATAGGAGCTAATACTAAAAGTATAAAACATTTGTAGATTCGGGGGAGTTTGGGCAAGAATAAATGCATGAAGAGTAGATGATCATTGTCTGTTCTGGAGGTGAGTGACTAAAGCCAGCGAGTTTATGGTGGATATTAGGGAGGTAAGACTTTTATCAAGGACCTTGTTTGCCAGATTAAAGAGCTGCTCCCTGAAGGAGCCACTGTAAGGACTTTGTCAGTGAGGGACTGGGGCTTGGTTCTGAAAATATTCGTTAGAAGCTGGGGTTTTTTTGTTTTTGTTTTGTTTAAAGATTTTATTTATTTTAGAGAGAGAGGGACAGTATGAGCAGGAGGGGCAGAGGGAGAGAGAATCCCAAGCAGACTCCATGCTGAATGCACAGCCTGATGCGGGGCTCGATGCCAGGATCCTGTGATTCTGACCCAGAGTCAAAACCAAGAGTCAGACGCTTAACTGTGCCACCCACGCACCCCTGTTAAGAAGCTGTTTTGAAATGTGGTTTTAGGCTCTTAGGTTATCTTGAGAGATAGTGTAAAGGTTTTTTAAAATTTTCTCTATCTAGGGCTCCTGGGTGGCTCAGTTGGTTAAGCGACTGCCTTCAGCTCAGGTCATGATCCTGGAGTCCCTGGATAGAGTCCCGCATCAGGCTCTCTGCTCAGCAGGGAGTCTGCTTCTCCCTCTGACCCTTCCCCCTCTCGTGTGCTCTCTCTCATTCTCTCTCTCTCAAATAAATAAATAAAATCTTTAAAAAAAAAAAAATTTTCTCTATCTAGATTTCAGAAATACAGAGGCCTCAAGAGCTTCCGGACATCTCCATGGGATCCTAAGGAAAACCTTCCTCAAGATTATGCTCGGATCTTTCAGTTTCAGAACTTTACTAATACTAGGAAACGCATTTTTAAAGAAATTGAGGAAAAAGATGTTGAAGGAGCTGAGGTATCTGCCTGCCTTTGTCCAGCCTTATAATGTGCTTCTGTTTGCCAAGGTGCCCTGTCCTTTACTCCTTCTCTTAGCATGAGTACCTTAGGTTTGTGCTGCCCATAGCTAAATTAAAGGAGTCAGTGAGTCACTGGTAAGAGTGATATTGAGAACAAAGAGATTTGAGGTGGTAACTGAAAAAGTTTAATCTATGTATTGAGGCATCTGTGAAAGGCAGTTTTGAAGGATGAGGGTAGGCTTTAGAGTAGTCTAAATAACTTTTAACATATTTGGAGAAATGCTTCATCATTATTGAGACCTCAAGGGTAACTGCATGATTATTTTCTGTTTTCTTCTGGCAGGTTGGCTGGTATGTCACACTTCATGTCTCTAAAGTCCCTGTCTCAGTGTATGAGTACTTTAAGCGAGGAGCACCCTTGATTGCATTTTCTTTACTACCTCATGAACAGAAGGTGAGTTAGTGTCTTGTGGGAAGTGGAGAGTTATGAAACTTTCAGTTTTGTATTGTATGACAGTCTAAAATTTTATGTGGCTGACATTTTCCTCATTGGGATCTGAAAAATCTGCTTTAGGATTAGGAATCAAAAGAATATGATAGAGAAGTCAATGATGGTGTTACCCAACATGTCTGAACCTGTCTGAAGCATCTCAGTGATGCAATCTCTGTGTTCTGAGACTTCTCTAAGTATGTTCATCAGATAAGATTTTTAACCAAGGGTTGGCAGCCTTAAAGGGGGTGGGGGTTATGCCACGACGTAGATCTCTTTTTTTTATCTTGGTGGCCAGCAGTCATGTGTGTGGGCGTGGATGTGAGTGCTCTGGCCTTCGGTCAGTTTGCAAGTCGAGGAGGGAAGGGTCTTGAATGAGTGTGGTTTTGAGGCATGTGCTGAGTGAGTGACTTGAAGGCACTGATTTTGTGGCAGATGTTGAGCTTTTCCAATGTTAGACACCGGAAGGTTAGCTTATATAGAAGGATACGTGAAAGGCTCTGAAAACCAGCCTATGTTTGACTTGAGTTTGTTGTTGGGAAATATAAAAGGTGAATCTCGTTTTGTCAGCTATACTTCTCCATAAGTAAGTATTAAAGGGAATCTGAACCTGCTAGTTTGGTTCACCTTCTTTCAATTAAGGCTGCTCTATTTTAGATATGAAGGTCTTTTTTTCTTATGTGGTCCCCAGATGTCAGTACTGAATATGGTGGTGAGCCGGCACTCTGGCAACACTGAACCTGTGAAAGCCAAAGAGGAGCTGATCTTCCACTGTGGGTTCAGGCGCTTCCGAGCCTCACCTTTATTCTCTCAGCACACTGCAGGTAAAGCAGTGGGGAAGGTTCTGGGTTCTTGTCCATCTAATGTCTTCTGGGGGACTATGATTTGTAGTGGCGATTTGCGGAATACACAATTTCAAACTCTAGGTTTCTGGGTTAGGGATATTTTCAGTACTCTGGTCTAGGAGCCAATGATGCTTTTATTCACAATGTCTGAACCTGTCTGAAGCATCCCAGTGATGCAACCTCTGTGTGGTGCTGAGGCTTTTCTGCCATGAGTATTTGTTGCACAGTGGTTTTGAATGGGAGTCAGGGGCTCTATAAAATGGTGTGTCAAAGTGTAGAACCCTTGGCGGATGATCATTGGCAGTGTGGGTGAAGGCTAAGCGTGGCCCACAGTTGGGTAAGAGAGGTATGTGGCTGGCGTCTGAGATGTTGAGACTAGATGTTGGAGAGTGGTGACCAGGGACACTTTTATGGTAAAATGATTATACTCCTACACATTAGGAGTGGGAATATACTTTTCACTAATTTGGAGGCTTCTGAACATCACCTGCACACATTCAGCTCTCAGCAATGGCTGGAGGAAGATGATGAAGGCAGTATTAATGGATGCTTTGGATAATTTTTGTTCTTACTAGCCATGCTATCTAAATGAGCGATAAACCTCTCTTTCCTTTAAAATGTTTTATTTCTCTATATCTTCAGTAATAAGAAGGGGGGAGGGTTTCATTGAAGATTAAAGCAGAAGCTTAGGTAGGCCTCAGGATCAGAGATCAGCAAAGTATGGCCCTTAGGCCAAATCTGCCCCACCTCTTGGTTGTGTTAAATAAAATTTTGTTGGAACACAGTTGTGGGGTTTTTTTCTTACGTATTGTCTGCGGCTATTTTTCTGCTCTAGTGGCACAGTTGAGTAGTAGTTGGAAGAGAGACTATATGGCCACAGGCCTGAAATATTTACTATCTGGCCCTTTATAGAAAATGTCTGCCAATCCTTGCCCAAAACTAAGAGCTGTTGATTTAGTGGAGATATTCTCTGTAAAGCATTGTTTCTCAAATGAGGTGTAGGGGTGATAAGTATCAATCATCTGGAGAATTTTTTCAAACCCTAAATATAGTCCAAGCTCCAAGATTCTGCCTCCAGTTAAGAACTGAGTTGTATCTTTCAGTTGTATTGAGGTAGGAAAATACTTTGAGAACTAGCCTGGTAAAGAAACATAAGTTGCCTTCGGTTTAAGAGTTACAGTGATACAGCTTTTCACAGGTTTCTGGATTACCTATGGTTTCTCAAAAACGTTTTCGTTTTTCTTTTTTAACCCCTATTATGGTAGCGGATAAACATAAGTTTCAGAGATTCCTGACTGCTGATGTGGCCCTGGTGGTGACAGTATATGGCCCAATCACGTTTCCGCCTGCATCTGTGCTGCTTTTCAAACAGAATAGCAATGGTAAGTTCACTGAGGTGAACAGGCCTGCAGGTCCTTTATAAGTTTAAAACTATATTCTGGGTTTAGATATAAGAGCCATTTGGTATGAAGAAGGTAATGATAGTTTTTGAAACATCCCAGTCTCAGCCTCATGATGGTCTGAGGCAAGGATGACAAACGGGGTTTTATCTTGCTTGCAAAGCATAGCTAATTGGTAGATGCTGCTTAGACTGTTATATTTAGGATAGGTTCTGGGGCCAGGCTTAGTGGGAATTTCCTTTAATGATCTTTGCCATTGATCCAGGAGGGCAGCATAACATATCCCTACTTTAAGGTTTCTCTAAGAGTTTGTTTAGGTCTTTAAATGGACTGGAGCAACAAATGAAGGCCTTGGCTTACACGCCTGCTACTCTGCTTTTGCTCCTTAGGAATGCACAGCCTCATTGCCACAGGCTCTCTCCTGTCAGTGGATCCGGACAGAATGGTCATCAAAAGAGCTGTTTTGAGTGGTCATCCTTTCAAAATTTTTACTAAGATGGCAGTAGTGCGTTACATGTTCTTCAGCAGAGGTAGGTGTGAAGGATGGGATCAGATTGCCTTTGTGGGGTGAGGGTTGGGTTTACGTTTTGTGGGTGTATGTTTCATCTTGGTCTTCTATGTGTTTCATTCTAAGAGGATGTGTTGTGGTTTAAACCAGTGGAACTGAGAACAAAGTGGGGCCGCAGGGGACACATCAAGGAGCCTTTGGGTAAGAAAACATGGGATTTGGTGCCTTGCCCAGGTTTTCCCAGTGCTACTAAATGACTCTTGGGTTAGAAGACTACTGCTTTAAAATTTTCTATTTTAATTTGACCAACTTGCTGTTTTCTTTGTAGGTACTCATGGCCACATGAAGTGCAGTTTTGATGGGAAGCTAAAATCTCAGGACACAGTACTGATGAACCTCTATAAACGAGTTTTCCCCAAATGGAGTTATGATCCATGTGTACCAGAACCAGTACCATGGATGAAAAGTGAGATTTCTTTAGCAGTGCCTGAAGTGGACATGGAGTAATGGATTCATTGGGATTCTGTCTCATTGTTACTAGGAAACACTCTAGGGATGGGAGCCTACAGGTTGTAATTAGGCAAAGTTTGTGTTTTCTACTTTAGCCTAGAGGTCCACTGCCTTTTTGCAAAGGCTTTTCTTGGCCTTGACAAGGTGTCTCAGTAAACTATGGATGTTTTTCTCTTGCTACTTAGTTAAAAAAAAAAAGAGTATTACTGAAACGTCCACTCTCCATTAGGAATTTGAAAGCTGTTTAAGAGAGGAATATAGGAAGTTAAAGTAACCAGGAAACAAAATTTCCAAGTGTTTAGAGATACTGAATGCCATCTCTTTTGCATAAACTAAACAGAAACAGATTGATAAGGAGCTGGCCTTTCAGCCTGCTTCACCCAAGTTAGAGAGGTTAGGTCTACATTTCCACCACTGAGCACAATACAAATGTTCTTTACTTCTGGGGAAACTGTTTGAAAATGCTGAGACAGCACAGCAGCGACTCCAACACCAGCTGTAGGTTCAATAAGCAGTTTCATCCTCTCCCACACCAGCTGGGTTGCATACTGTTGGTACGGAAGGGAGTAAGAATTAGTGAAATCGGAAAAGGAAAGAGCCTATTTACAATTAAAGGCCAGATGGGGTTATATACCCAGTCTGACCTTTTCTTCTTGGCCATATGTATATGCTCGCCAATGAAAGGCAGGGCTTTTTTCCCATCCTAACTCTGCTTCTACTGTTGAGAGGGTTGTCTTAATACATCTGGGGCACCATCCCACGTCATGAAGTCACGTAGCCAAGTCCCCAGGGAGTAAGTTGCTACTCAACAGAAGACTCTTGCCTAAGAAGTTGCTCCATTCTTTCGTATTTTCCTTTCCTATCAGAGCCTCACCTTAATTTCATCCTCTGTGACTGTGAAGACATCATCAACAAGGTCCCTTATAATAGGCCAGGTGTTTAAGCCAATGCTGGATTTGACACCATCTGCTATGGTTTCTGGAGGACAGGGATTAGGAGTCAGTTCCCCTTTCAGCTTAGACTGGTAGCAGTCATCTGCATTCAGGGGTTCAGCAGCATATACCTTCACAGTAGGTCTCAGAGCCTGAGAAGAGGAATATTAGACATTTTAAAACCAGCCACAGCATTTTGCCTGCATACCTGTAGTAAAATAGGCAATATAGGTAACTCATTTTCTGTTCAAGAGCCTTTCCCTTGATGTAATAAAAATAGACCTTCAAGCATTTTAAAGTATATGCCTAATACTAGCCTTTAGTTGCTTAGATCACATCTGGTTCTACTGGTAACTAGGGAAAAGAGTAGCCCCTGACTTGGATAGTGGGTTGTTGAGGTGGAATTCAGAGAAAGGACTCTGAGATGCCACTCATTGTAACTGCTTTTGCCCTGTAAAGTTGTTACAGATTAAGAACAGGGTAGTGAAGCAGAGAAGAGCCTTCCATTTCAAGTGCCAAGGGTTGATGGGAAGGAACAGCAATTGGGAATGTTGAGCCAAGTATCCGCAATGTACTATGATATAAAATAAAATTCTCTATGTCTGAACTGGGGAGTTCTCCAGAAGCTATTTTTTTTTTACCTTAACTGTAATTGCTATTCCAGCAACCATTCCTCCTCCTCCTACAGGTACCACCAGCGCATCTACCAAGGGTACCTTTAGTGAAAACAATATAAAGTATAAATAGGTCTATTAATAACCAGTTTTATATGTACATAAAATAATTGTACAGCTAAACAGCAGCTTTACTGGTGGCTAAACAAGAATTAACAGTTCTTACCTGGTTTAGTACTTCCATGGCAATTGTCCCTTGCCCAGCTATCACTGCAGGCTCCTGGTTGGGATGTACCATGATGCCTTCTGTTTCTTCCATAATTCTTCTTGTAACATTTTCTCTGGACTAAAAGAGTACATTAAACTAACATGTTCGTTTTGTATTTAAGAGTTCCCAACAAGTTAGATTTAGTCATTTAACACTATTAGCCATCTTTCTTTTTTCAGACTTTTTTTGGGTACTGGGGATGTAACAGTGAACAAACTAGTCCCTGTACTCAGTGGAGTTATGTTCTAATACGATGGGGAGGGGTGGCATATAAGTGAATATATGGCATGTCTAAATGCTATGGAGAATAAGTCATTTATTTATTTATTTATTTATTTATTTATTTATTTATTTATTTATTTATATTTTTTAAAGATTTTATTTATTTATTTGAGAGAGAGAGAATGAGAGAGAACACATGAGAGGGGATAGGGTCAGAGGGCAAAGCAGACTCCCTGCCGAGCAGGGAGCCCGATGCGGGACTCGATCCAGAGACTCCAGGATCATGACCTGAGCCAAAGGCAGTCGCTTAACCAACTGAGCCACCCAGGCACCCGAGAGTAAGTCTTTTATTTTTTTTTTTTAAAGATTCTATTTATTTATTTGAGAGAGAGAATGAGAGACAGAGAGCATGAGAGGGAGGAGGGTCAGAGGAAGAAGCAGACTCCCTGCCGAGCAGGGAGCCCGATGCGGGACTCGATCCCGGGACTCCAGGATCATGACCTGAGCTGAAGGCAGTCGCTTAACCAACTGAGCCACCCAGGCGCCCGAGAGTAAGTCTTTTATAGAGGGTGTTCAGGAAGGGCCTCTGGTAATGTGACATTTTAATAGGTTGGAACAAGTGCTGTGGATCTCCAGAATATTCCAGGGGGAGAATAATAGCAAGTGCAAAGACCACAGAGTAGGAGTGCCTGGCTCTTCTGAGAAAAGGCTAAGTTAGTGTGGTTGGTGTGGAATGTTTGGTGGGACAGTAATAATGGGAGATGATGTCAGAAAGATTGAAATGGGCCAATGCATCCAGGCCTTAAATGATTGCAAGAATTTTGGTTACCACTGTGTGTAAGATGGGAAACCATTAGAGGATTTTCTTTTCTTTTTTTTTTTTTTTTAGATTTTATTTATTTATTTGAGAGAGAGAGAAACAGCATGAGAGGGGAGAGGGTCAGAGGGAGAAGCAGACTCCCTGCTGAGCAGGGAGCCCGATGCGGGACTCGATCCCGGGACTCCAGGACCATGACCCAAGCCGAAGGCAGTCGCTTAACATTAGAGGATTTTCAACTGATGAGACAAGTTTTAACTTATTAAATGGATAGTTGTGGTTGTTTTTTAGAAAACACTAGTTGGGCAAGGGTGGAAGAAGAGAGACCACTTAGGCTACTGTATCTAGGTGAAAACTGATGTTCATTTGAATTAGGGCATTGATGATAAAGGCTGTTAGAAGTAGTTGGATAATAGAAACGATATTTTAAGTTTATTTATTTATTTTTAAGTTACCTACATCCAACATGGGGCTTGAACTCACGACCCTGAGATCGAGAGTCGCATACTCTTCCAACTGAGCCAGCCACGTGCCCTGGATAATGGAAATGATTTGAAAGTAGGACTAAGATTTGGATGCAGGATGTGGGAGAATTCTCAAAGGTGACTTCATTTATTTTGAGCAACTAGAAGGATAAAAGTTGCCATTTACTGAGATGCGGAAGACTGGAAGAGGAGCAGCACTGGGTAGCACTGGGGAGGAAGATCAGGAGTTTGGTTTTAGACATGGTAAGTTTGAGAAGCCTATTAAGACAGTCCAAGAGGGAATATCAGGTAATCATTGGACAATATAAGTCTGGGTTAAGGGCAAAGGTCAGGACTGGAGTTAAGAGTACAGGTGATAGGGGCACCTGGGTGGCTCAGTCGTTAAGTGTCTGGCTTTGGCTCAGGTCATGATCCCAGGGTCCTGGGATCGAGCCCCACATCGGGCTCTCTGCTCCGCAGGAAGCCTGCTTCTCTCTCTCCCACTCCCCCTGCTTGTGTTCCTTCTCTCGCTGTGTCTCTGTCAAATAAATAAATAAAATCTTTAAAAAAAGAAAAAGTACAGGTGATATTTTTTTCATATATTTTTTAAAGATTTTATTTATTTGAGAGAGAGAGCAGGGGGAGGGGCAGAGGGAGAGAGAGGAGACTCCCTGCCAAGTGTGGGGCCCCACACGGCTCAATCCCACCACACTGAGACCATGACCTGAGCCGAAACCAAGAGTTGGTAACCCAACTGACTGAGCCACCCAGGCACCCCAGAGTATAGGTGATATTTTAAACTGAGATTAATGATCTCATCTGAGTGAGTATAGGTAGACAAAAGGTTGGGTATTCTAACATTGAAAGGTGAAGAGGAAACATAGGAGGATAGAAGAAACAGCCGGTAGGCTAGGAAGAGAAGTTTCATTTGATGGTGAAAATGTTAAGGTGATGCTGAACACTGCTCTCTTCCTTACCTCATCACTCTGTTCACTGTACACTATGGAGGCTCCATAGGCTTGTATTGCCAATTTTTTACAATTGGGAGCTGTTTGGGGCACCACAATATAAGCAGGAATCCCTAGAGGGGAGGAACACGTTTAGTTAGTACAAATCAGGAGAATTTAGGATAGAAACTTCTGTTCAATTTGCTTATAATGAGATAAGAACCTGGAAATAACTTTCTCACAGTAATCACCAATCTCACTGAGTAAGAATACTTTTCCACTCTTCTCTGATGATCCTACCCAGTACCCTGAGAAGTTAGTCAAGTACCTTCCAATTTGGCAGCATAAGCGAGAGCCTGGCCATGGTTTCCACTGCTGTGAGTAACCACAGCTTTGGGCTTCTCTTCTGAGGTGGCAGGAGTCAAGCCTTTGATTGCATTAAGGGCACCACGAATCTGGAAAAGGGATGGTGAAACCAAAAGTTTCTTTTAAAAACACCAAGGAGCTTTCCTAGATTTTCTCTTCCTAACACCGCACATCCATTCTATCATGACATCTTATTGATTGTACCTCTGAAATATCTCGTGTCTTTGCCACTACCTTGGTGAAGCCTCATTTCTCAACTTGCATGTTACCAAACCTCAACTGATCTTGCCCCAAGGATCATTCTCTAATATTTCCACTAGAATTTGAAAGTGACCTTTTAAAAATGTTCTTTTTATTGACTGCCTATTTTGTAAGTACAAATTGCTTACAAGTTGCAGTCTTTTAAAACATATTTACTGCTTCTGTCACTGTTGTAGCCATCCTAAATTGCTTAGTTCCCCTCCTACAGGTTAGCTCACACCCCTGTAACCTACATATAGTTCTTTTCCTTCACCCTGATCTGGCTAAAAGTACTCAACCTATAAAATTTGGATCAAACATCACTGGGTTCAACTTCCTTCATCTCCCATGCAAAATTAGGCATTTCATTCTATGGTATTTTATCTTTCAAGTTACTTGTCATTAACCTGGTTGTTGACTAGCTTGTCTTACCCCGTAAGTGTGAATAATAGTACAAGACCTACTGTGTATGTATATACATGTGTGTATGCCTAGTATAGTTAATAAGTATTTGATGTGTGATGAATGAAAAATAAACCATGGCAGAAACAAAGGGCAAACGAGAATATAGTGTTTAACATAAACACTCATAAAGTGCTCATTAATGGGTGGGGAAACGCAGTCCTAAAACTACGACTTAACAGGTACTAATACCTATCAGGCATAGTACTAAATTCAACTTTCAGATTTTTACCTGAAAGGATCCTAAAACT